CAAAAAAAATCTAAAAAAACCAAAACAAAACAAAAACAAACAAACAAAAAAACAACTTCAGTTTTAGAAGAGGTTTTACGGCGCTCGCAACTGCGTAAGGTCATATGAGCGCCAGAAGATTAGAGGTGTTACAAGAGAGTAACAAACATAAAAAAGAAGAAGGGGAGATAAGGACGATAGATGTTTGATTGGAAAGAAGAAGCAAACCACACCAGAGCACCCGCCAACCACCCACCTTCAGATTAGAATGGATCACACCAAATACATTGTAGAGAAACACAGCGCTACAAGCATTTATTATTTATAGTACTGGAAAGTAGAAAAATGCTGCTTGGTGTTAGAACAGGGAGAAGGATCGATTCCGAAAACCTATTCCCACGATTAATGCTACAGAAAAAAAGTTCCGATTCCTTTTTACGTAAACCAACGATTACCAGTTACTTTAATCATTAAAATCTTCTTTAAAAAAAATAATTTAAAAGTTGAAAAAAAAAACAACAAGTTGATGCTTCGTGGTGCTCCGAAACCAAATTTATCCTAAACCCTGAAGATGTTAGGAGCCAACCAGGTAACCACCGGAAGAAATCTTATCATGAGAAAGTATGTAATTGGAGCCGGAGTCGATTTCTACGATTCCTAGCTTTCAATAATCGGGAACCTAGCCGCCCACCAGTACTTTGTGGGTGGTTGGGGTGGGGGGGACCAGTGCAACTACTGTCAAGCCAGAGGAGTTGGAAGTAAAGAGAGCAAGATGAGATAATAAATCCTCATTACCTGACAACATTTCAATACCGTATAAAAATTCCCCTCTTCTTTAAAAATAGAGCCAACATATATATAGAGAGAGAGGAGAGAGAATAACTTTCAATAATAGAGCCATAATCAGCCTAAAATCGAATGAACTTTTAAAAACTTGAGCTGTCTACACTGAAGCAACCCAAGATTTGAAAAAAAAAACCACCAAAAAAATCACTGTTACACTAGAACTAATTAGAAGTAGCATGCACACTGACACTTATGGGGTGATTGACAGAATATTTTGCTAACCAGTTTACATCATTCTGTGACGTGTGTGTGTGTGTGTGCGTGAGTGTTTGGTGTGCATGTGTGTGTGTGTGTGTGTGTGCACATGTGAGCATGTAATGTGTGTGTGTGTGTGTGTGTATATATGTGTGTGTGCATGTGGGGGTGTGTGTGTGTGTGTGTGTGT